CGCCATACTGCCACAATTCATCCCACAGCGGAACCTGTTAAAGAAACAATGGTGTAAAAAAATGTCTATTAAAGCCAACATTTACAATTCCACATTGAAGTGTCACCTCAATTTGAGACGCACAACTAGACAGGATGAAATTTGTGGGAAAATGGACTAAAATGTCAACTGATGAATTTATGAAAAGGCAGCAGCCAATGGGAAAATCGGTCAGTAGATCCGAGAGCGCAAAGCAGTCAAATGAGTAACCAACTCTGTGAATCTGGGATGGACAAAGGGATGAGACGTGAATGAAAGGACCACGGAGGGACTTATAGAAATGGTGGGTGAGTGACCCCCCGCCAGTACTGCAATCTCACCTGGCTCAAGTTGATCCGCAGACGCGTAATTAAGGAGTAGGGCCGATGCGCATCCTTAACCACCTCTGACACCACCACACCTTTGTCGTCGGCTATTTCCGCCTCGTGGCTTAGTGGTAGGTCGTCTCGAAACCATCGAATGGTTGGCAGTGGATTGGCGGCAAAGCGACACTCAAGTGTAGCATTCAAATTGCCTTGGGATCTGGAGAGAAGAATCTGGGATGTCGATGTTAGCGCTTCGGGGGCAGAGGGTGACTGGAAAACCCGCATTGGCTTCATTTCTGTGGCAAGAAAAAGGAGTTGCAGGTTAGGCATTTCTCCATCGATTCCCTCCACAACTTTGCAAACACTGTGTGTCTGGTCTTTGGGCTAGCTGGGCGACGGTTTATTTGACAGTTCTCTTATCTACTGCCCAAAAACAGAGGAGTTGGATGGAGAGTGCTATAGTCAGGAATTCGAATTATTGGCGCGATTTTTCCATCACATTACAAAATTGTTGCCTACGTCACGGGACCGGGTGGGTGGACGACCTCGGTGCAGCTACTCCTGCTGCCGTCTTCCACGTTGAACTAACCAGAAGGGCAAAACCTAAAGCTCTGCTAAAAGGGCAAAGATGATGATATCAAACATGAAATGCATGAACAGCTTCACTGGGATTTGGAGGAGAAAAAGACTTTCTAACTTCCAATTTCAGCTACATTCCAACGAATTCCAATAGTGCTTCACTCACTGCCCATAACCAAATGTGCGGTGTCCTGGGCG